TGAAGTTCACAGTATTTCAGTTTTTTTAAACTGGAGTAAAAACAAAATTCCTGGAAAAGCCCAACAGGTCTGGCAGCATCTGTGAAGGAAAAAACAGAGTTAACGTTTCAGGTCTGGTGACCCTTCCTCAGAACACCGGACTCAAAATGTTAACTGTTTTTTCCTTCACAGATGCTGCCAGACCTGCTGGGCTTTTCCAGGAATTTTGTTTTTGTTCCTGATTTACAGCATTTGCAGTTCTTTCGGTTTTTATACTGGAGTCCTTGTTTCACCAGGAGTTTAGGTATTGAATTCCTTCATTTGCATACGATGAAGGACAGCATTAAGAACAAGTATTTTAACAAGGATCTGGACAGCAATACATTTTTTTTAAAAATCAGGAGATATTTGCAGAGGACACCCAACATGTATTACTGAAGCTGCTGCATTAAATAACTGGAATTATTGAATTTTCCAATAACTACATTTTGGACTACTTTACCAATTCTAAGTTTGAAAAATCTAATTTGCTCAACATGGCATTATTTCCTATTGTGCAATGTTATGAAGTTGTTCAGGCGTTGTAAAAGTAGGACCCCGTCTTCTTTGTATATGAAGTGAATAACATCCATCTAGGTGGGTTTCTCAATCTGCTGCTTGCATCTAACTAAAATTTATTACATAGGGTGCTGTTGGTAGGCAAGGACACAAGGAAGTGTCAAGTAGTTCAGTTCTTTAACATTATTTAAGTTGTAAACTTGTGGATTTAAACAATCAAAGTATTCTTTATTCAGCAAGTTGTAAAGCACTGTTAAGTTTTTTTAAAATTAATTTAAGCATCCAATCAAGTCAGAATTGTTTGCCAGAATCAACTGCATCTACTGCTGCACTGAACTCTCAGCATATACTGCAAAATAAAATGAAGCAGCTCAGAAACAATAGGCAGGATTTTGTATTTTGGTTGATGTCAAATGTCAGGGGGAAAGACAAGACTTGAACTTATGCTATTCCTGGAGTAAAGGCCTGACAAGTTGTTGCCTGAATTGACCAATAGGTGGCCCCCAGAGGGCAAGGTCAGCATCCACTGAAGGCGGTTGAAGGTGGAGTCTCCACACAGCCAACCAGCAGCTGTATAACTGGCAAGCTAGGTAGTAATGGTGATGTTAGGGGCCCTCACAGTCTTCCTGGAGTCTTGACCTCAGTTTGCAGACAGGATAAGGCCTTGAAGCCAAAGCAGTCAGCAGGCAGACTGGAAGATTCATCAACCTCTCTGATATTTGACTTTAAACCTAAACAAGCTGCCCACCACTTACAAGAAGGTAAGCTATTGAAGTTGCAAGATACTAAAGGGAACATATAATATCATTTCTCCTGATGTTCATTGGTTGAGGTATCTAGGATTAGGTGATATAGAAGTAAATTAGTGTGTTCATTTGATGTTCCAAGGAATGCTATTTCAGGTTTCCAACAGTGCATCCGTGGATAGACAGGTTCTCCAGTACAACCTTAAAAGATGATGTATCATATGGCTCTGCATACTAATCCAAGAGTATAAGTTGAATATACGTTAGTCTCCTTCCCAGATTCCTTTCTCCCATTAATGTAACATCAGCACATACCACTACCATAGGTTAATGACCTGAACACTTCTAATTCCCTTAAGATGCCTCTCCTAAAATACTAATACAGGGTATGATTGAAATCAGTGTCATAAGTTCAAAACCGATCAGTAAGCTGAATTGATCGGAGATACACGAAAACAAAATAATAAGGTGCATATCACATTAACTGATCTCAGCCAACAGATAGCAGTGAACTATGAAACTGTTACTCTGCTTCAAGGAAGAGGGAATGTATAAACGTTGTAATAAGCAATGTGAAGCTCCATACCCATGTTTTCTGCTCCTCTTGGAATGATGACGTCTGCATACTTTTTAGTCTGTTTTGAAAAAATAATGTTTACTTGGTGAAGTATCACAACATCACAATAGGTTAAATAGGGCGGATCCCCAAGTTTATACACATAGGTGCACGCACTACGATGGATGAAATAAAAGTAAAAGGGAGATTAAGACCATCCTTAATTATTAAGCGAGCAACTGCACATTGGGAATGATATGAAAATGGAGATTTAGACAGAAGAATCCAATGGTTGCTGCTTTTACTGAAACTGTTTACCACAATCTGTAAATCAATGTTTCATCAAATGAAACATTATTTGCTGCTATTCTATCTACTTTAAAAATTTTTAAATGAAGTATTATTAATTAATTACACAGGTTACTTGGACACGACAGAAACCCCTTTAAATTTTTTTTTAAAAAACATACTTTTCAAAACATCACTCTTGAATACATACAGTTTTATAGTAGAATTACAGCATGTCATAAACATCTTTGAATAAATAAAACTCTTATAAATCATTGTACTCAAGTTTTTACCTATTTTTCTTTTTACAGTTACATAAAATTGACAGCTCAGAAACAGGTCAATTGGCCCAACTGATCTATCTGAGTATGGGTGCCACAAGAGCCCCCTTCCACCCCATAATATAGCTTCCCTCTCCTTTCTTCCTCAATTCTGCTGTGTTGTCAGCTGTAGCTCAGCTGGTAGCTTTCTCGCTTCTGAATCACAGGCTTTAGATTCACGTCACTGGCCTGGCTTGGGCACAGAAATTAAGGCTGACATGTCAACGTAAAACAGGAGGGAGTGCTGCACGGTCAGAGATGCCACCTTTTATATAGGTGTTGAACTGAGGGCTCATCTGTTTGGATGGAAGCAGGAGATCCCATGGAAGAAAAAACACAGCAAGAGTCTTGGCCAATATTCATCTTGTAATCAACATATCAATGTCTAGTTATCATCACACTGCTGTCCTGTGCACATAGGTTACTGCATCATCTACATCGCTAAAGTGGCTTTGCTTTCCAAAATACGTCAATGCTTGTAAATGCTTTGAGACCTCCAGAGCTCATGAAAATTGCTATATTGCAAGTCTTTCCTTTCTCTCTCTCTCTCATGCACTTAACTTTCCTTGAAATGCATCTACAAATGTACAAAAACAAACGGTAATGCATTTTAAAAGCAAAGATAAAGCTTAGTCTTTAAAACAAAATGTTGTTTAACCATTAAATAACTGAAATAACCACACTGGCAAAAAACTTTTCATATTTTATTCATTTTCAATTTGACAGTTTGTAGGTGTTAGTTACATTCCAATCCTGTGCAAACTACAATATATTTTCAACGTGACTAAAAAAACCAAACACAGGATTTGAGCAGAATTTAGTCCAGCTTTAGTGAACAGGACTTCCATGAAACAAAAACTATTCAGAAGTTGTGTTTAATTCACACCATGTGATTTCAAGACATGGCTGAAGTCACTAGGTACTGCAAAAGGCTGGATAACATTCCAACAGTAGTACTGAAGACATGTGCTCCAGAATTAGCGTTGTCCCAAGTTAAGCTGTTCCAGTACTCTACAGCAATGGCATCATCTGACAATGTGGAAAATTGTCCAGGTCTATCCTATACTTACAATGTACGAGAAATCCAACTTGGCCAATTACAGCCCTATCAGTATACTTGTTGCTTACAGTCATAGAGTCATACGGCCATACAACACAGAAAAGGCACGGGGGAGGCAATGGCCTAGTGGTATTATCACTGGAATGTTAATCCAGAGACCCAGATAACATTCTGAGGATCCGGGTTCTAATCCCGCCACGGCAGATGGTGGAATTTGAATTCAGTAAATAGCTGGAATTAACAGTCTAATGATGACTGTGAATCCATTGCCAATTGTTGGAAAAATCCATCTGGTTCACTAATGTACTTTAAGGAAGGAAACTGCCATCCTTACCTGGTCTGGCCTACATGTGACTCCAGACCCACGGTAATGTGGTTGACTCTTAACTGCCCTCTGGTCAATTATGGATGAGTAATAAATGCTGCCTAGCCAGCAATGCCTTCATCCCATGAATAAAAAAAAAAAAAAAAAAAAAAAAAAAAGGACCCTTCAGTCCAAACAGTCCATGCCGACCAAAATCCCAAACTTAATAGTGCTTAATAGCACCATCTGACCTACTCACTGTTGCTGTTTGGGTGCTGCTAGGGCAATGTGGCTCCTGATTTCATGACAGCCTTGGTCAAAATGTGGATGAGAAAAGCGCTGAACTGAAGGAGGTGAGGCAAGAGCGACTTCCCTTGTTACCATGGTCACATTTGACTGAGTATGACCCCCAAGAAGCCCTAGCAAAACTGCAGCCAATGTGAATCAGAGAAATCTCTCCATTGGTTGGAGTCACATCTAGTGAAAAGGAAGATTGTTGTCAGAGGTCAATCATCTGTGTCTCAGGACATCACTGCAGGGGTTCCTCAAAGTAGTATTCCAGGCCCAAATATCTTCAGCTGGTTTGTCAAGGATCTTCTCAACATCAAAAAGCCAGAAATCGGAACACAGTCATGATCACTGCACAACGCTCAGCACCTTTCACAACTCCTCAGACACTGAAGCAGGTTGTTTTCATACAAAACAAGATATGGGTAACATCCAGGCTTCAGCTGATAAGTGGTAGGTAACGTCTGTGGCATACTAGTGGCAGGAAATTTCCATCTCCATCAAGAGAGAATCTAAAAATTGCCCCTTGACATTCAATAGCATTACCAGCACTGACTCCTCCGCTATCAACTTCGTGGGTTTACCATTGACCAGAAACTCAACTGGACTCACCATATAAATACAGTGACTACAAGAGCAGGTCAGAGGCTAGGAATGCTATGGCTACTGTCTTCTTAATGCCTGTCCACGATCTACAAGGAACACGTCAGGAGTATCATGAAAAACTCTCCAACTATCAATAAAGGTACAGCTCCAGCAACAGTCAAGAAGCTCAATATTATCCAAGAAAGAACAACCAGTTTGATTGGTATGCCCGCCATCACCTTCAACGCCGATGCACGTTGGCAGCTGGATCAACCTTCCACAAGATGTACTCACCAAGGCTCCAACATCAACTTCCAAATCTATGACCTCTATCACTTAGGATGACACCAACAGTAGATGCACAGGAACACCACCAGCTACAAATTCCTCTCCAATTCACTCATCATCCTGACCTGGAACTACACTGCCATTCCTTCGCTGAAACTGGATCAAATCCTGGAACTCCGTCCCTAACACTACTATGAATTCCTATACGAAGGACTGCAGGTATTCAAGAAGGCAGCTCATCACCACATTGTCCTGTGCAACTCGTACTGGGCAATAATAACTGCCTAGCCAGTGACATCCACATTCCCTTGAAATGAAGGAAAAATAAATCATTGCCCATATTGAACTCTGTCTGAGTGTCACTGAACTCATCACATCATTCTTCACCAGATCTCTCAGCTTTGCTATTTTTATTCTTAAATGGAGTTGTGTTAAAGGGCATAACTATCATCCCTCCTTTGGGCAAGTACTTAAATGCATTTTGCATTTTTTTTTTTTTTTTTTTAAAAGCAGGAACTAGTAGAAGGACACATTCATAAAACATCATAGAATTTTAAAAAAAATTGAATTCACTTTTGTAAATGAAAATAAGCATATTCCCTAATTTTACAAACATGCTTCGATGATTTAAAACAGAATAGCCACAAGCCACTATTTTAATCCAATAAGAAACTTACTCATTAGTTAGAATGTTATATCACAATGACGAGTAGTTGAGGTAAATAACATAGATCCATTTGGGGAAACTAGGTAAGTACACAAGGGAGAAAGGAATAGCAGGAAATGGCAATAAAGGATACAGCTGAAGTAAAGAGAGTCGGAGGAGCCTATGTGGAACATAAATATTGAATTGTGTGTTGCTGAACTGTAAATTCTATTATCAGTCTGGAGACAGTCATATCACATTTCAATTAGAGCTCCCACAGCTGGCACAAGGAGAGACCATCAATTCAAACTATTCTAAAGAAAGTGAAATCCCATAAGAATACTGTCTGGTTATGTTATTGGGAGTAGTTCCCAAATTGAGAATCATTAGCTTTGAGGTGTTTAAGGAGTTTGCAGCATCATGAAAAGAGGCTCAGTGAGCTGAGTTGGCAGGATGAGGGGTTTGTGATGCAGACTGATGCCAACAGCATGGGTTCAATTCCCACACTGGCTGAGTTAACCAACCTTTCCCTCACTTGAGATGTGGTGACCCTCAGGTTAAACCACCACAAACGACAGGGCGTCCCTATGGTCCGACAGGGCTATGGAGACTTTACTTTCGTAAAAAGTCAAGTCTTCCTTTCACTAGTAGGATGTCAGTTGATTTGGCAGGGGCATTGGAAGCATAGAAAGCATAAAGAATATATAAAAAAATATAATGTAACTATTGTAAAGACTACCTTTTTATTTTTCTGTTTTTGACTGTGGGTTGAAATGGAAAAAAGAACTGTTTAAAAACAAGTGATTGTTGAAGGATCACTGATCTTTTTAGAAGTACTCAGTATACAAGTTGTTTAATTAGCTGCTTGCTCAAGTAGTAGCGGAAGCCGAGTTTGCAGACAAGCTGGAGCCAAGGGTTGTGAATGAATAAAGCTTTGGTTGGCAGCAAGTAGCTGATTAACCAATTACTGCTGCCAGACCATTGATGACAAAGGCCTTCTACCTGCCAAGAACTATGCGATTGGCTCCCAGTTAGCCAAACAGCTAGGGGGTGTTTGAATATCTTGGCAGAAACCATTGAACCCTTTGAGAAGGGTCTTGCTGTGCAGTGAAAAGCACCTCAAGCCTGAAGATAGCCCGTTTTTCTTCCTCCACAGTTGCTGCTATGGATCTTAACTAGTAATGTGTGTGGACGAGCCACTCTGTACCTTCTACAAGCAAGTAGAAAGTAAGTATCTTGAGAAGGAGAATCAGGGAGCAGCACATCCTTACACCCAAGAAGGGCATCTCATCAAACCCTCTAAATCAATGAACTGCCTTCCCAGTATTTTCCTTCAACCATAACACTAATGTTTTTATCACTGTATGTACATGTCCAGAGATAGTTCATAAAGAAATTAGTGTTCAGTAGTAGTTAGTATTGACAGTTCATTGTTTATGTGCAACTAGAATCTATTTATTTGTAACAAAGTCATTCTTGTTAAATAAAGAAACCTTGGTCTGTGCTTTATGTCAACCTTGGTCTAAAACAAGTAAACTGTGGATTTCCACATTCTTTCCAAGTGACTTAGGGAATAGCAGGTCTTGATTTTCAGTGCACTACTCCAATGAGATGCATTATGTTAAATAAAATCGACTGAGTTCAGTTACTCAAGGTAATCAGTTCAATGAATAAAACTATAAACTTAGAAATGGCACATAAAATTGAGATGTAGCGGTCACACCCGATATCCATACATCATATATACAGTGCTACTGGGGTGGGATCATTTAGAAAGAGTGCGAAAGAGATAGAAGATAAAAGGAGAGATATCAAAATACGGTGGTGATTAAAGAAGTGAATTAGAAATTAGTTATTGGCAACAAACAAAGTAAACCACACAGCAGCTATGCACTAACTATCTGAGCTGTATGGATAGGAGGGTCCAAATTTCAAGTCAGTGTGGATAGCAGTAAAATGTTGCATTTCCAATCACGGAAAAAAAAACGAGTTGTGTATGAATAGAAATGGATGAAAAGTCTTCAGGAATGCAAAGTGGGGAAAGAAAAAAGTCCAGGAAAGAAAATCAACAGAACAGATAAACCGGCAAAACCATGGGCAAATTGTCCACCTAGTTTTGGCAGCATTCCAAAAATATTGAAGCTGACATATTTTACCACAGTATTTAGAAAAGTATGTATGAAGTCAGGAATATATTGAAAACCAAGGTGGAAAATAAATGGAGCATTTCATAAACTTAAAAATTATTTTCATCTAAACAAACAAAAGGGCAAAGTTTTTTTTTCTTGAAACAGCAACTGGTCATGGAATTTCTGTGTATTACCCGTTCATTGTCAGGTGGTCCACCACCAGTCAGGTGGTGATCACGCAGACAAAGACAGGCAGATAAAATTTTTTAAAAATATTTCCGTAAGTATTTGTGCACAGGAAGGTTTCTGAAGGGAACATTCATTGAACTTATGAACACTAGCTTACTGATTTGAAAGTATTGTTTAATGTAAAGTAGGAAGAATAACCAGAAACCAATTAAGAATTGGAGCAGTAAACAGTAGAGTGCTTCAAGATCCTGTATTTATACAATTTGAGTATGACGGTGGAGACTTTCTCCAGTATTACAACAATGTTTGATGGCATCAAGCAATAATGTGAAGAAAATGCTTTCAGGTGCAAACTTATTGGTTTGACAGCAAGTGCACATACCAAATGTCCTTTATCAGTTATGAAAAAGGATGAGGATTGGGCTATTTAAGCAGTCAACCCAAGCTTGTTATCAACCAAATATTTTTTAAATCAACCAGGCTAACTGCTAGACATTTCTCAAGGGCACCAGGTTACAAAAAACAACAGGTTTTTCCCAACCCTCTAGAAAATTGTTACTGCCACAGCCACATCTACAAAACTACATGCAAATTTGGCCACTCAAACTATTTTGAACAGGGTTCAGAAAAAGACTAGCAAGCGAGACTTGGAACCTGGGGATGCAGTTTTAAATGGATGACAGGTTACAAGCCAATTTTTCAAACAAGTGCAGTTAAATAATTGTGCTCAGAGTAATAGAACACAAAACTGAAAACAAATCAGAACAGGGTCATGAAATATTTTCTTAACTCTTTCTGCCACAGCAGTTGGTATGGAACATTGTGAAAATATATTTTAAGAAATATATTTAAAGATATAGCATCTCAGATATTCAGACCATGGAAGTGTCATGAATGCACCTCAAGGCTGGGTAATATTGATTTGATTACATGGAAGCTATTGAATATATCTGAACAAGCCAATGGATTTAAGAGAATGTTTGAGATATTTATTTTCATCTACAAGAAGATTAAATGAAAAGGTGATTAGAAGTCAAAGCAACTGCACTACCTGGAAGGAAAATGATTTGTTGTGTCAAATAATCCTGAATCAAAATGATTCAGTCAAATTAAACCCACTTGGCTTGCCTGGGGCCCAGAGTTGTTAACACCTCACTCACTGCCCATCAAATCATCATACAGATATTGGTCAACAATGCAAGAGAATTACAACTCATTTTCAAAGCTACACGGAGGTTCATGTTTCTTCACTGTCAAATTCCTGCTGCTATTAAACCGCAAGGCTAATCATAGCCAGGTTTAGCAGCCAATGTGTGTGAAACTATTGAATTAGGACTGACAGTACGTCTAAAGATAGCATAAATATATTAAATATTTCCCACCCCGTAGCTATGGTGACTTGATTCTTATAAAAACAACAAAATTATTTTACACTGTGTCAAACTATTTCAATGACTTCTAGGTCCATTTAATCGAACAGATGCACAAATTATATCTTTACAGAATTCCTCCAAAATCATATTTAAAAAGCATATTTCACTGACAAACCTCATCTCCTACTTCAGTAAATTATTTACTTCTCAGTCATGACAGCTTCAGCAACAGAAATTAAACATATGACCAATAAAAGCCACAAGGTAACCAAACAGGACTCTTCCATATTGGGATGTGAAAAAAGGGAAATTGGAGCACCCATTGTTGAAAGTGTGAGCTACATATTACATTGATGACCCTGTTATACTTACTGGGAGACAGAATTCTTCAAAAGCTGGCTTGACAAATGTTATATACTGTGTTAAAATTTGTTCCAGGTCCCGTTGCCTTTCACTGATGTCTCTTAATACTGAAACAAACAAAGAGACTTCTTACTGCAGAGTTGCAAACTGAGAATTTACAGAAAAATTAATGTCAAAAATCAGCCCTTTTACAACAAAAATATTTCGCTCAGTAGTTATTCATGTTCTCATTTATTATCCCCAAGATATGAATGCCTGCAACTGCTTCAATCTGCGAGCAATATAAATAACTAATTGCTTTAAACAATGCTTGGTGATTTAATGTAGAAGATCAATATGCATCCATCTAAGAAGGTGCATGCAGGTTCCATAATGTAGTCCAGCTGAGACCACTGCGTCTGACGTTTGAAATTCAGACTATAGGAGCACATAATCTCAGACAGTTCATTGAAGGAAATCTTGCGTGGGTCAAGAAATAATAACCAACCATACCATATGAAAAAAAAAACCCAATATTTGACACTCTCATTTCCAATGTATTCAATTACAGAAGCCTACCCCTAAAATATCAACATGCTTTGAAACAGAATCAGCAGTTCTGCCACATGACTACTCCATTTTCTGTTCTTTCAGCATTGAAGTCAATATGCAAGTGTAAATCTGAACCTTTCAATAAATAGTATTTTGCAAATGAGCCATTTGATTTAGCAAACCACGAGACAAACACATACTGACACCCTGAGACTTTAATAAAATATTGCATGATGTCATTTTGGCAAGTTCAATTTTTAAACTACAGTAAAGGAGCATCACAAACAGAATTCTTTAGAACAGAAAACAATATTTTCATGCCTCCAGGAACATGATGAATCAAGACAAATATTGTTTAAAAAGGCAACAGTGGATTGTTGAAACTTAGATGAAAAAACAGCAAAAACTTCATAAAATTGAAAATTGTATAGGCTGTGCATCAGAGACTTTCACATTACTTCAGAACTTATATCTATAACAGGTCTAAAAATGCAACTTCCTCATCTATGGCTGCTTAAGAATGTGATCATGTCTTAAATTCTCTTTGCAACTATACTTCAAAGCTCAAAATCCACTCACCGTTCGATATACAGTCATATCTCGCATCCTTCACGCCTTATTACACTTTGAGTAAGTTTTTGTCTCTAGTTTTACTGTATACAATAAAATATTGTCACCTTCACCAGGATGTTGCCTGGCTTGGAGCATTGTAGCTGTGGAAAACAGGCTGGATAAGCTCAGGTTGTTTTCTTTAAAGCAAGGAAGGCTGAGGGAGGACTGGATTGAGATATATAAGATTATGAGGGGTGTGGACAAGGTGAATAGGAAGCAGCTTGTTCTCCTCAGTTGAGGCATAATTTTAGAGAAGATTTCATAGATTCCCTACAGTGGGGACGCAGGCCATCCAGCCCATAGAGTCCACAGCATCCCTCTGAAGAGCATCCCACCCTATCCCCATAACCCTGCATTTCCCATGGCCAATCCATCTAACCTGCACATCTTTGGACTGTGGGAGAAAACCACAGCACCAGAGGAAAGCCACACAGACACAGGGAGAATGCGCAAACTCCACACAGACAGACAGTCACCCGAAGCTGGAATCGAACCCTGGTCCCTGGTGCTGTAAGGCAGCAGCGCTAACCACTGAGCCACTGTGATGCTGTGAGGAACAGTTTTTTTTTCCATATTGAGGGTAGTGAGAGTCAGAATGCACTGCCTGGGAGTGTAGTATAGGCAGGAAACCTCAAACTTTTAAAAAATGGTATGTGGATGAGCACTTGAAATGGCATAGCTTTCAAGGCTGTGGACCAAGTACTGGAATGTGGAATTAGCATAGATAGGTTGGCGCAGACTCAATGGACTGAAGGGCCCCTTTATATGCTGTATGACTAATAATCCAAATTTGGAAGCCAAATAAAAGTGCATTTCAAAGCCTTGTAAAAAGGGTCAAAGCTCCACAGCAAACCTCCGTAGATGCATGGGTTCTGGATTGATGGTGTACCGCCAAGGAGATGCGTTAGCAGCTGGATCCTGCACAATGCCTTCTCCACAGTGAAAGCTATCAGGTGTGCGACATTCGTCCAACCTATTGTCTTACTGAAGAGGCTGCGGTGGTTAATCACCCATTAAGTTCTACTGTGTAACTCTGGAACTAATTGCAGGACACGACTGTACGTTATTATGCAAGTTGCGGGAACAATAGGTAGAATAGATTTAAGATTCTTTTCCCCAAAAAAAAAAGTAGATAAAACAAAAATTGTACTCACTCTTTCCGTACTTTTTGCAAATACAGCACACCATGGTTACTTTAATTTGTGTGGGATTTTGAATTACCTAAGCCTCTCTGACATCTCATCATTGTAAATTCTGACCCATTGATTGATCATTTAGACATGGCAATTCTACGTACATCAGCAACTTATAGGCTCCTGTGAGATTGGGCAGTTTATGATGACGCTGAACAAAGTTTAAATATTTTAAAGGCTACACTTACTGACACCAAGGAGCATGCACATTGCAATGCTTCTTGTTGAAGATGGTACTTTCGGTTTAATCTCATGGATATGGTACACGCAAACACAGTAGTCAGTAGATTGACTTTCAAAACCTCCATTTCCTGCCAGCCTCCAGCCAAATCAGTGGAAATTAGCAAATTTGCTTCCTCGGTGAATCGGAATCAAGTTTCATTACTCCTAATTTTATAGGCAAAAATGTACAAAGTCAGCCTTTATGGCTTTCATTGATTTGCAATACACAAAGTACTACTCCTGATGTGAGAAGCAATAAGGCAAAAGTATTCAGGATTTTGCTTAAAGTGGGCAATAACTTTGTTCCAACAGCAGCTATTTATTTTGTAATTTCTTTTTAAGAAAACTCTTTACCATCATCGGGCTTTATTGAAGATACAGAAGAGATTGTAAAACCCAAATACATTATGGGCTTCACAAAAGATCATTTACGGTAACTGTGCAGAAAAACAATTTCAGATTGGGTCCTCAGCTTATATTAAGTTAGTCACTTTTAGCCATGATAACAATTAGTGTAACTGAATTTGCCAACGAAACATGGTCACCTAGTGAAAACATCCATAGGAGTTACCATCCAAAAAGAATAAAATGAGAAGATTCAACTGAAAAGCAATCTGAAAAATTGGGCAAAGGCAAGAACTTCTAAATAGGCAGGACATTCCTTCTGGATGAAGGAGAAAGTCTGTAACATTTCCCCTCCCTCAAGGTGGTCAGGTATGCAGAAAAGAAGCAAATGCAATTCAACCCAGAGATGTGTGAGGTGATGCGTTTGGTGATGCTAAACAAGGCAAAGGAATACACTATAAACTGGAAGATACCAGGATGAGCAGAGGAAGTGACTCCTTGGATTGCATGTCCCCAGATCCCTTGAGGTAGGAGGATAGGCCAATAAGTGGACAACAAGATATCTGAAATACTTCCCATTTTTCAGTTGAGGCATAGAAAGCAATGAATTAAGTAAAATTAAGCCGCCACTTGTGTTGTGATCATCTCAGGACACATAACAAGGATGGAATTGCAGTAGAGAGGCTACAGAGGAGGTTTCTGAGAATGTTGCCAGGAGTGAAAAATTGCACCCAAGAGGAAAGATTGTACAGACTGGGGTTACTTCCTTGAAACTGAAGAAGGTGAGAGGATTTTTGATTGAGGTATACAAGATTGAGACTGGCCTGGATAGAATGGAAGAGCTTATTTCCCTTCGCAAAGAGGTCAGTGTTTAGGGGTATAGATTTAAAGTAATTGGTAGAAAGATTAGAGGGACAGGAAGAAAAAGTTTCTCTCATCCAGAGGGTGGTAGTGGTCTGCAACTTTTGGGTTGAAAAATGGACATTAAAAAAAATGGGCAAACATTAAGTTTAATCTAAAACAAATTCAAATTTAAAAAGATTTCTTGGACTTCAGGCGCAAATTCATAACCCCTAGGGTATGCACCAAGCACTGGAAAATGGGCTTAGGTTAAGTGCTTTGTTTCTTGGGACTCACAGACACAATTAGCAGAGTGTCTGCCTTCTATGCCACAATATTTTTCAACATTTCTTCAATTCTAGGCATCCCTTCTCTCTCTCTAATTACAGTTTTGCAGCCAATGGTTTCAAAATGGTAATGACCTGCAAAGCATTTTGAATCATTTGGAGCTGACTGTAGTCATACATGGCACATAGGAAGATGGTTGCTGTTGGGAGGTCAGTCATCTTAGCTCCAGGACATCTCTACAGTAACTCCTCAGGATAGGGTCCTAAGCTCAACCATCTTCAGCTGCTTCATCAATGACTTTCCCTCCATCATAAGGTCAGAAGTGGGTATGTTCGCTGATGATTGTGCAATATTCAGCACCATTTACAACTCCTCAGACACTGAAGCAGTCCACATTCAAATGCAACAAGATCTGGACAACATCCAGGCTTGGACTGACATGTGGCAAGTAACATCCATGCAACACAAATACCAAGCAACAACCATGTCCAATAACAGACAATCTAAACACTGTCTTTTGACATTCAATGGTGACACTTTACCAAAATCCTGGGTGTTACCACTGACCAGAAACTCAACTGGGCTCACCACATAAACACAACAGCTGAAAAGGCTAGGAAAACAGTAATGAATAACTCACCTCCTGATTTCCCAAAGCCTGGCCACCATCTACAAGTCAGGAGTGGGATGGAATACTTCCTACTTGCCTGGAAGGGTCAACTCCAACAACACTCAAGACACTTGACACCATCCAGGCCATAGCAGCCCGCTTGATGGGCAACATATCCATAAGAATCTACTCCCTCTATCACTGACGCTCAGTAGCAGCAGTGCATACTGTTTACAAGATGCACTGCAGAAATTCACCGAAGATCCTTAAACAGTACCTTCCAAACCCACGACCACTTCCATCTGGAAGGACAAGGGCAGCAGATACATGGGAACACCACCACCTACAAGTTTCTATCCAAGTCACTCAACATCCTGATTTGGAAATATATCACCATTCCTTTATTGCTGCTGGATCAAAATCCTGGAATTCCCTCCCTAAGGGCACGTGGGTCAAACCACACCACATGGAATGGACGGCAGCGGTTCAAGAAGGCAGCTCACCAGCACCTTCTCAAGGGCAACTAGGGACTAGGCAATAAATGCTGGTCAGCCAGCCAGACCCACATCCACCGAGTGAATATAAAAGAAAAATCTGTTCATGTCATGCACATAAAGAAGCTTCCTTCTTTTTAGGGTAAATTGCCAATCCACGAATTAACTGGTGAAATATGACAGGCTATTTTGGGAGTTCAGATAATAAAAATCAGATCTTCCAATCAACATTTAAAGAGGTCTTTTCCCCGAGGTGGGGGAAGGCCCAAACTGGAGGGCCTAGATTTAAGTTGAGTGGGGAAAGATTGAAGAGGCACCTAAAAGGGCAACTTTTTCACTCAGAGGGTGGTGCATGTATGGGATGAGCTGCCAGAGGAAGTGGTGGAGGCTGGTACAATTACAACATTTAAAAGGCATCTGGATATGAATAGGAAGGATTTAGAGGGATATGGGCCAAATGCTGGCAAACGGGACTAGATTTATTTGGGATGACTGGTCAGCATGGATTAATTGGACTGAAGGGCCTGTTTCCGTGCTGTACATCTCTATGACTCCATGTACAGACAGCAGGAAAATAACACTAACCAAAGAAGTCTCAAAGGTAAAATGTACAATCAAGTGATGGATTTACCCTTGGCTTTCCATTTAGCAGAGGTGGATGCTTCAGGATGCTAATGAATTTCTCTCTCTCTTTATCATCATTGATCTAAACTGGACACTATTGCACAGAACAGTCCCATCTAATGAGTTTTAAGAATTTATTTTACAGACTTAGGCTACCTGACAGAGTCGCAGCCTCTTTCATTCTATTTGACAAAAGAGGACGCATCTCAGCTTCTGGCACAAGCTCCTGATCTCTGTCCATGTGGTCAAGTAGGGGTTTGTAGAGGCTGGAAGCTGGATGGATCTCTCATGATTCTGCTCCTGGGTATTGCAAAAACCATAAAAAAGGCCATCCACTGAGCCAGGCTAGGCACATCCCAGGTTGCTTGACTTCTTCCACAGAGTTGGCCACAACCAGGTTGCCTTGGAAATGTACCAGTCTGTGTCCAGACTTGAGGTCATCTCTGATCAGTGACACTGCAAGGCATGCAGTATACAAAGAGCACTGATATTATCAAAGTTCAAAGAACTTGTACATAAGTAGAGATTTGACAGCTATGCCAAACAAACAAAAGGGAGAAACACTTTTGTTTAATCCTTTGGTCTTTTTAAGAAAAAAAAATCAAGTTTACACAGATAGCATATAGCAATGGTAGTTTCAAATACCCTGTACCTCTGCGTGATAGCCGGGTGTCTGCATCAGTGTCCACAAAAAGCTTCAGCTGAAACATGTCTCGGATCTCCTGCATATAAAAGGCCAAGATACCTTCGAAAAGCACCACGTCTGCTGGGTAAACAGTAATCGTCTCAGATTTTCTGGAAAGGCAACATATAAAGATAAACAGGAACACTATGGTTTCCATTGCCAATGTGTGTTAACTAGAACTATTCTAATCTTTTCAGAGCTCTCTGCAATTTTTTTTGTACGAGTACTCAATTCCATTGAGTAATTAAATGCTTTTTCAAAATTATTTGTCCCTCCACATCAGTAAAGCCTCTGACAGGCTTGTGTAAAAGTTCCATTCAGTGCTCAAAACTCATCCGCGTAATGCTCCCAACATACGGGTGCTCATTTTATGTTGCTGGAGAGTTCACAGCACAAATTGTACAGACCTATTTCACTTGAAAACTTGCCATTCAATTTTGAAGTCAAAAGCCTTTGTTAGATTCTATATTTTAAAAAATAATCAAGTTCAGGTCAGAATGATCTGAACTGCTTGTTCTAGGAAGATTCTGTTTTAACAGAAAATATTTATTTGTACACACATTGGAATATCAAAATATACCCTGGAGAAACATTTGGTCATAAAAGGGTAGAAGTTGGAAAAAGTGATCTTCAAACAGGGAAGAGCAAGATTTTAAAAAGAAAGGTAAAGTCCTCATGAAAGAATTGGTAATTAAAAGGTTAAGATCTTAAGGTTAGTACTTGCTACTTGATGAATGGGCTCATTCTTCAGCACAAAACTGAACAGGAACTAATTGGTAAGATGGAATTTTTAGTATGGAGTAAAATATTCTAGTCCTGTCCAAACTACGTAGAACCTTACGTGAACACACTTATCTTGGATTCAGTTCATTCTCGGAATGGTAATTATTTTGCTTTCATGGATTTAAAGCTGGTAAACCTGACAATATCATATGATTCTCCATTTTTAGGGAGGCAATTCAGACATATTTAAATTCAGAGAAAGCTAAGTTGTAACAGTTAATCTGTATGTCCAAAGTGGTTACTGTACTAGCAATCCAGAGACGTGCACTAATGAATTTCTGCAATGGCAGCAGACAAAATGTTAATTTAGCATTTAAAATGGAAACAAATTCATGGGATGTGGATAGCACTGCATTTGTTGCCCATCCCTTACTGTCCCTGAACTGAATGGCTTGCTAGGCCATTCTAGAGTGCCATTAAGAATCAACCTTATTATTGTGCCACGGGTCTGGAGACACACATAGGCCAGACCACGTAACAATGGCAGATTTCCCCAAGATGTCTGTTAAGGGAGATTAGTGAACCAGATGGGTCTACACAACAGTCAATGATAGTTGCTAAGGTCCATTACTGAGACTGGCTTTCAATTACAGATTTATTAATTGTATTTTAAATCCCATCAGCTGCTGAGGTGGAATTTGAATCCATGTCCCCAAGGTGCTAGTCTAGGCCTTAGGATTTCTAAAGGCATTACCACTCTGTCACCATTGAGTAGCAGATTAATAAAGTATGGAAGCAGGCCCTTCGGCCCAAACTGGTCCATGCTGACCACTGTGCCCCCTCAGCTACTTCCAATTGCCAACATCTAGTCCATATCCTTCTAAACCCTACCTATCTATGTACCTATCCAAATGTTTTTTAAATGTTGCTATTGTACCTGCCTCAACCACTTTCTCTGGCAGCCCATTCCATATACGCGCCACGCTCTGCATGAAGGAGTTGCCCCTCAGGTCCTTCTTTAAACTTTCCCCTATTACCTTAAACCTATGCACTCTAGTTTTCAATTCCCCATCCCTGGCAAAAAGACTATATGCATTCATGCTATCTATGCCCCTCATGATTTTATACCACCTCAGTAAGGCCACCCCTCATTCTCCTATGTTCAAAGGAATAAAGTCCTATCCTGGCCAACCTCTCCCTATAACTCAGGCCTACTAGTCCTGGCAAAATCCTCGTAAATCTTCTTTGCACACTTTCCAGTTTAACTATGTCTTTCCCATAACAGGGTGACCAAAACTGTATACAATACTCCAAGTGTGGTCTCACCAACGACTTATACAACTGTAAAATAACATACCAACTCCTATACTCAATGCCTCAACCGATGAAGGCCAGCATGCTAAATGCATTCTTCACTACCCTGTCTATTATCATCCCCTAATTTTATACTATATAAAATCTGGAATTAAAAGCCTTGTGTCCAAAAAATTAACAGATGGTCACTTAAAGCCCATCTGCTTTACTAATGTCCTTTAGAGAAGATATATCTGTCACCCTTGCCCATAGTGACCTATATAAGACTCTAGACCCACAGCAATGCAATATGCTGCCCTCTGAATGACCTTGCTAACCACTCAGGTGTTTCTTTTTCGCAAATTTTTTTGATTACCTATTTTTCAAATCAACATCATCAGAAATGTTATTACATATCTCCGGAGCAGGTGGAACTTGAACCCCAGCCTCCCAGTCAAGTTGTGTTTAAGAGAGTGGATCATCGTGGCCTGATCGCAGTTATGAATTGGCAACAAATGCTGGCCTTACTAACAACATGCATATCCTGTCAACGGATAGATTTTTAAAAAGTGCAAAATCTTTGCATGATTTTGACACCGAATTTCATGAAATGCGTGTGTGTAATTTTATAGAATTTCCTCCATTTCTAATTTCCCTCACTCTTAAATCTCAAGTTCTGTTGGTTTTAATGGATTTCTATAAAATATCTAATTGTTTCAAATAGTTCACCCAAGCAATGTGTTACCAGATTATGTTACCACTTGTAACAAAGTAAAAACCTGCCAAAGGGCTTCATAGAAGTTTGAAATTACACAGAATTCGACACCAAGCCAAACAAGGAGATGTTGGAACATTAGACCATCGTTTGGTGAAAGAGGTTGATTTAAAAAGGGGGATTTAAAAGAAGGAAAGTAAGTAGGGGGGTCTAGGGAGAGAATCCAGAGCCTACGATTAGCGAACTGAAGGCACTGGCACCCATGGTAGTGCATTCACAATTTTTACTACAAGAGAACATCAACTGAAGGAGCCAAGTCAGATTTTGCATGATTGTATGGCTGGTGATTACAGGATTGGATGGGGTTGAGGACAAGGCTACAAAAGGGATTGAAAACAAAATGGATCTTCCTTTTTTTTTTTTAAAAAAAACAGGGAGGTTGCCAAAATGTAGGTCAACAATCAGAAAAGTAATGGATGAATGTTGCTTGGTCAGAGTCAAGATATAGGTAGCAAGTTTTGGATGCCCTCAAAATTATGCAGAATACAAGGCAGAAGGTCATCCAGTAGATCGTTGGAATAATTTGAGCCTGGACATTTACAAAAAGGTATGGATAAGGGCTTTGGCAGCAGATGAGCTAAAGTCAGGGCACAACTATTTAGGCAGAAACAGGATTATAGTGATTTTTTTGGTTGGAACCTCAGCATGAATTCAAATAGGATGCCAAAGCTTTCAAAGATGTGGTTGAGGTTCAGACAGCGGGTAGGCAATAGGATAGGGTGTCACCTCCCCACCACACCCCATGCCCAAAACCTATCTAGTTACCTCACTGCTATCCCCCAATTTGGCACAACACAACTCCTGTAGTTATACAAGTTTACACAATTAGAAATGCAAAAAAAATTTCTTCAAATTAAGCCATGCACAAGAGAGCCAAGCTTGATCTTGGCTGCTTGCAAGATCACAAAAAGGGAGGCTACACAATTTTTCCTCCTCTTAGTATGTAGTACTAATGTAGTACTCCTATACTTATGACACCAGGATCAATTTTGCACTTCTGCTCTGTGAGGCTCTATTGTTCCCCGACTTCTCCAGCTAAGACATAGTTGATAACTCTGAAACAGAGTCTGAGGAATGAAAGTACAAAGAAAACATCAACCCTGCAAATTAATTGGCTTAACATGCCAGATAAATCAGTTACATCCGCTATGTACATCTTTTGGCGCCAAAAGAATCTGCCAAGTATTACTCTGCCTGCAAGAAACATTCAAAACAAATATGACCTTGTATTAGTATAATTTACCTGGAATGTGAAACAAAGTCATAGACAGGGATCTCAACTGTTTTGCCTTCAACAATATCCCTCAGGGTGTTCAATATTAATTCATTATCAAAAGCATCTGTCAATAAAATAAAATGGAAACAAAATCATTGTGTGAACAAAGACTACAGTGGTACATCATTAAGTTCTCTGTTGATGGTTCCTTTGCCAAATTTCATGTACCTGGATGATCAAAGTTAAATTGGCCTTTCATTGCTTTTCCTTTCTGTTCTGCTGTTAACACTTGGTAAAAGCTGTCTTGACTCACAATAACCACCTGCCGCTTATGATGATCGATTTCATTTTGGCCGAGAAGCTGGACTATTTTTGCACAAACTGAGGACTACCTCAGAAGAGAGAAAGAAAAATACAAGTTTAGTGAGGTAGCAGCTCCTACATTAGCTATTTCACTAACATTTGGCCCCGTCATAATTCAAAACTATACAAAAGTAGAACAATAAACAACTTCTAGAGAGATGTAGCAATGTTAAATTTTAAAAAAAGGACATTCTTAACATTTGACATACTTCAGCTTAATAACACGCAGAGACAGTTAAACCAAATATCAACATCTTGGCGACAAGACTAAACTAGGATTACTATCTCTGGTTTTGTCGTCAGACAAAATTGAGGCAGTGAGAAACCATTATCACCAATAGGCACAACAATACTAAAGAGCTGGGCACAACTGCTACAAAGTTATGTCTATACCAGTGTGTGAAGCAGTTCCATAAAATTAAGCACTGAATTTTAGATACAAAAGCAACAGGTTTCTGTCAGATTTCGAGAAAGCATAATAACGAGCAGTTAAAAAAACTTCCTCAATCATGAATTACACCCAGTGTTACAGATATAAATGCTAATCTTCCAAATTTGAGATTACACATGCCTAATGGGCAGAGGGCATACTGATGGTTATAGGTCAGTGGTGAATCAGTGGGCTCTTGTGGCACAGGGGTAGTGTACTAACTTTGAACCAGGAGGCCTGGGTTAAAGTCCCACCTGCTACAGAGGAGGGTACTGACATCTCTGAACAGGTTGATTAGGAAAATAGAAAAAAAAAAATGAAGGTATTGAGAACGTGCTACTTTATAGCTTCAAATAAAAGCATCAAGCAAGGAGGAATCGCCAAGCCCTTTGACTGGATATGGTTGGAAAAGAAAAATATTCCAGTTAAGCTCGTGAACATATCCAGCATAGATCACTGGACAGTGATGAGGAGCAAGAAATGAGATGACCCCCATTCCCCCTCCCCACCTCCCAAAGGCCTGGAGTATTGCATCCAATTTTTATAGTCCTACTTCTGTCCTGCCAAAGATCAGCACAGCATAAAATTTAAAAATCTGGCCTACAGCAGGGTTATCTGGGGTATTAGATGACAAAAGGAGCAACATTCAGCTAACTATGATGTTTGAATATATACTTTTTCCAAATTGGATTTTGTTACAAATCCAACACCACAGTACGCAACCAAAGTATGACTGCCTATTAGGTCACAGTTTATCATTCAGTCACCTACATATTCTAAGCCCTCCTTTGCAGGAAATAGAACAGAAACTGCCATACCAGGTGGGGTTCCTGAGCAACACCAGGCAATGTTTAACAGAGATCATCTCTACAACAAAAATGTCATTTCATGAGACTGAAGGCTACAGCAGTTGCCTTTATAACAACAGTTACAAGAAAAGTCGAATTGATGAATGGAGATCCTCCTGCAATGCAAATGAGCTATTTCTACAAACCATTGGAATTTAGTGTTGGCTTTGTTTATATATCAAAATAATTCTAGAATGAAGTGCATTATTAAAGTATTCATTGTAGCTACAACTTCCACTGTCTTTGACAAAGTTCAGATTTGGGGCTTCTAATTTTGCAGGTTTTGTAGGTAGAATAGGGAAAGGTACAATTCAAAGGTCAGGACTGTTTGTGAATGAAATCACTGAAAGGAGGTGGGGGAGATGAGTGGGTAGTTAATTAATATCAGGATTCCATATAATTTGAGAATAAAAGCAAGAAAGTGATGATAAGCCATTCTAAAATGTTGGCTTCAGCCTCAACTGAAACATTGTACCCAGTTCTGGACATCACTTTAGGAAGGGATTAGAAATGACACAGAGAAGATTCACGAGAATAGCACCTTGGATGAGGAACTTATGTAAATGCATTGGAGAAGCCAAGGCTGCTCTCCTGGAGGGGAAGGTTGACTGGACACTTTACAGTACTGCTCAAAATACAAGTCATAGGAAAAACTATACCCAACGGCAGAAGGATCAAGAATCAGAGGAGATCAATTTAAGGTCATCATCAAAAGTCAGGAGGAAAAACATTTTTAAAACAAAAAAATGCAGCAAATGGTTCGGACCTTGGACGCACGGCCAGATAATGTTGCAGAGGCAGATTCAATCCTGGCATTCAAAAGCGAATTAAATCACTTTCTCAAAAGAGACAAGAAAGATTGGAAGACAATTTAGAGAAGATAGGGGAATGGAACCAGATGAATTGCTCTTCTTACAGAAGAGTGACAGACAAAACAGGTCAAATAGTTTTGTTCTGTGCTGTAACCATTCTACAATTCTAGCAATGTCTCAAATGTTTTGTCATTTTCTTTTAAATTCAGGAGGTCGGAATGGGGAGGAAAACCTAGATTGGATTTTATTGCAGGAAGCAAGCAAGCAACTATGTGATAGCCGCCTGTGTTTACTCGCTGCCTAAACTTTCTATTTTGACTGCAAATTCTGCTTTCTAGATAAAGAGAGCAGAATCAGATTTAGCAACACAAATGCAAGGAGCCAATGCATTAGATGTATAGATCCTGTTTTAAGATTGAAAGTCCAACGCTAAAATGCATAAAATACCAAGTTCTATTTTTGAAAGCAGTACGGCAAGTGCGGGAAGATGCCCTGAAACACATTTGACACATTACTCACATTAGCACACAGTAGGATTATTGAGCAAAGCTACTTGTTTAGTTGCTTTTCAATTTTCTTTTCCTCTTGCATTGACAAACCCTTGACTGCCAACACTGTCAGCTACACATCAGAAAATAGTACAATGAACACGAAGAACAAATCCTAAGTCACTAAAGGCAAAGAAGTTCAGAATTCTTGCCATATTCATAAGAATTACTCTGGGTCAACAGAAATTAACTGATCTCAGACTCCTCATTCCAACCTCTAGAGGCTATGGGTGAAAGTTTAAAAAATTTCAAGTTTCAACAAATCAAAAAAAATCCATTTTAAATATATTAAAGTGTGCGAGATTATTCCTTCAACAAAAGCAAAATTCTGGGAATTTTATTCCAAAATTTCACCCATATTCCTCGAGACGGAGAAACTAAGTCAATTTTCTTTTATAAAACTGGTTTTCCACCAAGTTTGGAGTTCTACATCTTTCCAAGTGAAAAGTTACAATTTGATCATGTAGAGATTTTTGTAGTTTGTGCAAACCGTCCACGTCAAGAGAAACCAATTGACTGAGGTGAAATGCACAAGTCTTTTAAAAGTTGAGGGAGAATGGGTTGAAAATATATCATCCAAGATCGAATGGTGGAGCAGACTCGATGGGCCGAATGGCATAATTCTGCTCCAAAATGGCCCATGTGCTCTAGTGGGAAGGCGAAACTATAATTTTATGGGATGGTGGTCCCTTTAGGAATTAGGATCTGATTTCTGGTTTTAAACAAAACTGCTGCATTCCAATAAATAACTATGGGATCAAATAGCCTGGGAGTACAACAATAGAAAATGGGTCAACAAGTTAATTAGAGAGATAAGTAGGTTCCTATGGCTAATACTAGCTTTAACACGGTTTGAAAACAAGGGAAAATTCTGTCTGCTAACTCTGTTCTCTTGACGATGCTGATGGATGAACTGAGTTATCCCAGGATTGTTTGTTCCACATAATGTGCTAGGTGTTGTCCTAGTTTTGTTTCCTCTCTATCAATTAAGCAGTCCCTAGCTCTTCAGTAGATTAGAACTCTGATAGTACCCCTCAAATGTCCAATTATACTATCAAAGTAATACAATTGTTTTGATAACTCCATTGATTGCACTTTTTAAGTGAGCACATTTTTGTCCTTTTTTTCAAAAATTCCCAAACAAATCATTCATTATGCTGGAAATACTCAGCAGGTTAAGCAGCATCAGCGAAGAGAGAGAGAGAGAGAAACTAAGCTAACTTTCCACACTTGTGGTATTTCATCAGAATTCCTGTGCTGTTGAGACTACTGCACAAAGTACGCATAATGTAAAAAAAATGCAGTTTTAAGGATAAAATAATTTTGCTAGTCATTAAATTAGCTGGTTAGTGGCTCAGGACAATGGGAAAGCTACAGCCACGTTGACACCATTCAAATTCTCCATGCTCAAGGGAACTGTTCAGATTGGATGCCTCTAAGACGTGAAATTTGAAACTTCTAGCTCCATTGTGATAAACATGTTTATATTATCACTTCCAGAATTTGGATTTAAAAGCGAGGTAGATGGATTTTAGTTTCAGTTCTGTGAAGATGATTTTTTTTTAGAAAAATAAGTCAGACATCATTTGGCATAGTGACCTCAATGCGTAATTTGCAAGAAAATCTGATTCATTCAAGTGTCCAGCAGGATATCTGTGATGTTAATCAGTGGAATATTTATAATGCTGAGCTTTCGACATACAGAGAACAGAGACTGGGGCAAGTAGTTTAGTTTTTGACTTCAACTGACAGGGTTCAGGAGAACAGTTACCTCCTTGTAGAAGAATCAACATTTTCAGGTTCAAATCCCACCATGACAGATGGTAGAATTTGAATTCAATAAATATCTAGAATTAGGAGTCTAATGATGACCATGAACCCATTGACAATTGTCAGGAAAAACCCATCTAGTTCTTATCATCCTTTAGGGAAACAAACTGCTATCCTTACTTGACTCCAGACCCACCATAATGTGTTTGACACTTGCATTGCAAAACACCTATGTTCTGTCCGCAAAATGACCCTGAGCTTCCAGTTGCCTACCACTTCAACACACCACCACATTCCCTGGTCAACATTTCCATTTCAGGCCTGCTGCAGTGCTCCAGTGAAGCTCAGCGCAAGCTGGAAGATAACACCTCATTTTCCGCTTGGGAACCCTGCAGACTTCAGGTCTCAACATTGAGTTCAATCATTTTAGGGCCTGAACACCTCCTTCTGTGTCTTTTCCCCACCCAGGTACACTAGGCTCTATCAAGGCATGGGCTTTCAGCACAGCCATCCCCTTTCCACCTACTTGTGGTGCCCATTATTAGTTTTTCATTCTACCATCCATCCCTTTGTCTGCTTAATTGTTGTTCTCTCTCTGTGCTCCATCTCCACTTATTCACTTACTCCTTTTCCCCCTCCACCCCTGTCTTTGGCATTACTTTTTCCTAGCTACTATCAGTTCTGAAGGATCACTAGGACTCAAAACATTAACTCTATAGTCTCTCCACAGATGCTCCCAGCCCTGCTGAGCCTCTCAAGCATTTTCTGTTTTTCTCTCAGCAGAAATCAGTTGAAATTTGAATGCTGGTTTAAAAGAGTTAAAAAAATCTAAATAGCTGTCCACTGTTAACAGCTCTTAATAGGGAATTGAATTTCTGGTATATTTCAGCGAGAGAGAGTTTTCAATACAAAACTTCACTGTTAAAGAATATTAGAACAAGGAGAATTTTGATCTGAAGTGGCTGCAGTAAAGATATCAGGGGTACCCAGGTTGGATGGGGAGTTTGTAGCCTTTGAATGATTGTAGCAGATACTAAGGGGCTACTTTCCTGGAAGAAAGCAGAAACCCCAAGAAATGTCAGTCAGTATGCAAATTACTGACAATACCCATACTAAGCTGTTAGTCTTTAAAGTTTTACAAAATTTGACTTGAGGTTTGGAGGTGCAAGTCTAACAGATGTAGAAGGAAAATGAATTTATAACATTCAATTGAGTAATTGTGTTTATTGTATTTTTATTATTTAACACTGACTACTTACGATACACTACAGCTATTACAGCTCATGTTCTTTGATTTTTTTGTAAGAAGATGCTTTTGTGGAAACCATGAACTCTGTGGCTTCATTTTTTTTGATTCTAAAAGTCATTGTAGGTCTCCACCAAGATCATATTTATAACTAGTAAACAAAGTAGAGCTTCTGCTTCCAGGGAGTCAACACTCATGCCAAAATAAAGTGATTTTCCACTGTCAATTCCAAACAGAGGTCAACTCCATAAAGGACCTCTACACTGTAGGCAGAAACAGCCTTCCTGAGTAGGTGGAGTTGCTCATCCGTGGGTAGTGGGAGTTATAGGAGAAATCCAAAAAAAAAAGACTTCTTCCAAAAAGCAGTTGACGCCCCTCAATTGAAAACGTAAAGAAAAAGCAAGATTTTTATTAGGCAATGACATTAGAGGCTATGGAACCGATGCTTGTTGATGGCCATAAGGTGCAGATCAGTCATGATCTTATTAAAATGGAGAATGTCTCTAGGGTCTGTATGGCCCACGTCAAATCTTGTTTAGCCTGCACTATCAATACAGCAGCTTTTGCAGCCTGAAGCATTGACATGGAACTACTTCTTGTATTGTTTAAGATTAATGAAATGATCAACAGAAATAGTCATACAAAATGAGACAGATCAATGAAGCAATGCAATATGCAATCAATGCAAGCCACTAGCCAATGAGGAAGAAAGGATGTCAACATATTCTTCCTACACAAGACAACATCAGCTGATCAATGAAATACAAGATGCTGAACAGACTGCATTACCTAATGCAGCAAATATATTGGCTATTCAACAAAGCTGTGTCATAACTAGACTGCACACATCAGCACAATGCAGTATAGCATTAAGCAAGGTACTAGTGTCATCAGCGGCAGGGATGTGCTGTAAGGTTATTGTTAGACTGGTATAGAGAAAATGTTTTAAGCTTAAATCACATGATTGCAAATTTGATTTTTCTGGTTAAGTTCAAAGACATCCAAAATAATAACCAGGAGATTCAAAAACACATAGCGCTTTTCATCATTCCAGGGCCATCATTATTTTGCATTATGGAAGGATTTAACACACAGAATTCAATTTTAACCGTAAATAGCAAACTGATCTGGCACCCATGTGGTATCAGAAATTGCATGAAATTTTTTTCAAAATCCATTTTTATAAAGGAAATTAGAAAATGCTAGAAATATACAATTGCTATGTTATTTTGTTTCGCTTCCTATATACTAAATGGCCTATGTGCGGTCAATGTCATTGGTTTCCATTTTCAGTACCTGTAGTTCCTATTTCACTGGAGTTTAAAAATTTAAAAAGTCTTTGCGGTTAGTGCTTCAAAGATTAGAAGCAACTTCAGAGCTTGTCCATACCATTAAACAAATTGCAACTGCAACCAGAAAAAGTCAGACCTGCATTTATATAGCACCTTCCGCACAATCCCGAAGCACCTCATTGGTATGGAGTAACTATTGCAATGTTGGCAAAGACAGGATTCCTACACATTAAAATTCCCAAGCCTTTGTGATCCTTTACATACAATTATTTCACCAGGACATACTGATCCCTCCTTTATATATCAGTAATGCTTTGGAACAATACGCACGTATACCGGCTGATCAGCAACTAGACCATTTTACGGGGGTATTATATATGCAGAAAAAAAATTGACGGTAATTTTGACGATCTAATTTTGGCATTCATAAAAATCGGAATACATGATTAAATATAGTATAGGTTTCAGGACGGAAGTCCAAACACAACGTTACTTTGAAAATCAGTGTTTCCTGGAAATTCCCTTTTATTGTACCATTTGATGTAGCAGACGTGGCAATTCCGACTAATCTGGAATATATGAATGTAAAAAAATGACAATCCTTCCCCTTTTTTCTATATTATAGAGACCCTACACACGTGAATCTAACGATTATGTCAATTTCCAAATCCAGATGCATTTGAAGGCTGTGCCAAAAGGTATTAAACAAATAAAACTATTATGCCAACTTCAAAGATGTCGACCTTATCCGACGCAAAATCGTTCTTCTTAGAAATGGGCAAGCAAAGAAATAATTCAATTTATGATTAAAATGCTTAATATGTGCAGCTGTTCTACACAGTAGCCCCAACCGAAAGAAAATGGCCGGAAACCCTCGTCCCCCGCCCCCATCTCCATAAAACAGTAGCTACGTAACTTACTAAATGGTTAAAACAAAATTAGCTTTCTAAAAAAAAACTGAGATGGTATATTGTTTTGTTGCTAGGGAATTCAGGAAGATCATTAATGAGGATAACCTTGGGTACAGGGATTCTCACAAGACCCTAATGTCATGTTAGCACATGGCGGGAAACATGTGGCTGACCGGATACAATGTGCGAAGAAAATATAGACAGCTAGTTACAACAAACTTGACCTGTTCTAGGAGGAGTCTGGCGCATTACAGAGGGCTCCGGCTCTTAAAGAGGAACGTTCTCATCGTTTCCAAATCACCCTTACAAATGTCTAACTTCTACAATACACGTGATAGCCTTTACTGGGAGAGCATTTAGCCCCACCTTAAAACCTGCCCCTTCACGTCTCGTTTGCACCTTTTCTGGGCAAATCTTAAATATAACATCTTGCATGGTCTGTGAACTGTTTAAAAGACAATGGATGCAATTGCAATGACTGGAGGGTTGGACTAGTTTCCCTCCATGCTTCCGACCAGAACATCCGCCACCAGAAGATATTCCAACAATATTCTGATACGTGAAATCACAACCTGTCAATATTTATCCCCGCCCGTCACATTGCAACACTGTAGCACCCAAACGAAAAGGGTCTGTAGACACTTCCACCTCCCTATTACTAATCCCACGGGCAGCCCGGGACAAAGGGGCGTCTAAAACCCCGGAGAAGCCACACAACTCGCTGACAAACACTGAAAACGCATCAATCAGATACATAAGCCATACTTTGCCGCTGGCGGTGCCCCCTCCGACCCCGATTAGAAAGGGCTTGCGGGGCTTGTGGTTCTGCACCGTTTGATCGCTGTCTCCTGCCATGGTTCACACAGCCCTCGGTTATTTTCTCTCCTCCCTCCCCCACCTGCGATTCCGGGTTTGGTTGCTCCAAGGAAAAAAAAAGAGGCTAACTCGATTGGATTTCTTGCCGCATTTCTGAAAAGCGCCCGAATTTATACTTCTGGAGGATGATGACACACTCCAGACGTTTTCCGATCCCCACCCGCTGCATCTGACTAGGTACAGCAGACTAGTGACTCAGAAACCGCCTTCCCAAGGAACACTAACCAGGCATGCCAACTTTATACTCAAGGGCAGGGGCGGAGTGTAGCTGAGTAATGAAAAAAGAACCACCCAAAGCTCACTTTACTGGGAATAACCAACCAATGGCATCCAAAACAGTAAGTCATAAAATATTTTAATACCCTTTTATAAAAATTTATACTTTTCAGAAAAATCCAAAAAAAAGTCTGAACTTTCATCTGTTTAACTCCTTGTGACCAATGCCTTGTTTTATTTCTCTCTTTATTCCATTAATGAGGATCTAATATTGATTGATTGATTGAATTATTGTCACACGCACCACAATACAGTGAAAAGCTTTGTTTACAAGCAGTACCAGTCAGATAGCCAGCAAAGGATGTGTAGATCAAAAAGACTTAGAGACATACAGGTTACATTGCAGGTTACATTATATGAGGCTAGAGTCCATTCAATGGTCTGATAATGGCAGGAAAGAAGCTGTTCCTGAACCTGCTGGTGAGTGTGTTCAGGCTTCTGTATCTTCTGTCTCATAGAAGAGGCTGTAGGAGAGCATTACCAGGGTGCAATGGGTCTTTGATAATATTGGCGTCTTTCCACGCAGTGAGCCATGTAAATGGAGTCCATGGATGGAAGGTTGGGTTCTGTGATGGTCTGGGCTGTGCACACCACCTTCTGCAGTTTCTTACGGTCCTGGGCAGAGCAGTTGCCAGACCAGGCCGTTATACACCTGGACAGAATGTTTTCAATGGTACATCTGTAGAAGTTGGTGAGGGACCTTATGGACATGCCGAATTTCCTGAGTCGCCTGAGGAAGAAGAAGCGTTGTTGTGCCTTTTTGACTGTCGCATTTACGTGGGAAGTCCAGTACAGGTCATCAGTTACTGTCACTCCGAGGAACTTTATGCTGTTCACTCTCTCAACCTCAGTTCCATTGATGTAGATGGGGACATGTTCTCCTCCTTACTTTCTGAAGTCGATGATCAGTTCTTTAGTTTTGCTTACATTGAGAGACAGATTGTTTTCATTGCACCATGTCACCAAGCCTTCTATCTCCCTTCTGTATTTTGACTCGTCATTGTTAGATATCCGTCCCACTGTGGTGGTGTCGCCAGCGTACTTGCAGATGGCGTTTGTTCGGAATTTGGCAACACAGTCGTAGGTCTACAGGGAGTACAGTAGGGGGCTGAGGGTGCATTCTTGGAGGGATCCAGTGTTGAGTATTATTGTGGAGGGGGTGCAGTTACCTATTCTCACTGATTGCAGCCTGTGGGTCAGAAAGCTGAGGATCCAGTTGCAGAGGGTGGAGCCGAGACCAAGGATTTTATCTTCTAAAGACTATACCTTCTATCCCTCAGTATTCTTACACTGCTGAGAATGAGGAGATAGTGAAGGGTGCTGGAGCACATGCCATATCCAGCAACTCCGTAGATGCTTAGTTTGCTATGTATGTTCCCTTCTTAAAGGTGACTTTAGAGTGCAAACTACATACGCTGAAGTCTGGAACTATTATGCACTTTATACTCTCAGCCCTTTGTAATTTAGTACAAACAAATCTTTGTGAATACATCTACACAGTCTGATGCCTTCCTGATACCATGTGTTTTTTTCTCATTTTTTTGGAAGACCTTGGGTTCAGAATATACACATATTTCTTTCAAGGTCAGGATCCCCATTACAGGGACCACAGGAAATAATTTTTGCATGCTGATGTGGATTTTGGAAACCCCTGAAATTATACCGCCTCAGAGAGTTTGTTACCGCTGGGAACATTCTGAAAGATGAACGTAAAATGTCTTGACACCTTTGAATGTTACTATTACATGCTGTATTATGATGTAGAGATTTTTTTAATGCAATGTTTAATTATAGGGACTCAGCTGCAAAGGTAAGTTGACCCTGCATTGACCACTATTGTGTTAGTATTATCATGCTTAATTCAGTCATTTTTCCATTGAAGAAACTGGCATTATACATTTAAAATGTTCTATGAGCCTCTGACATCACAGTTTTGTTGTGGATTAAACTGACTGGTTTTTAACCGTACCCTACTTTTGAAAATTGAAAAATGTCTCTGCACTTCTGCATCTCCATTCACTGACCTATACTTTGGATTGAAAATTGGACACCTTTCTATTTGGTCAGTTTTAGAACTTTTGAAAGTTTTTATTATGACAGCTGTAGCCATTATGACTGTTTGGCTGGGTTTCAAAATCTAATTTAGATTCAGTTTAGAGGTGGTCCATTAATCCAAGAACAATTGAAAGTTTTAAGAAGCTATGATAATATGTTTTTGAGGTGCCCAGCATGTCAACAATTGCTACATTTAAGGCGTAACTAGGCTGGTCACTGCCAAGAAGGGACATATCATGATTGTTACAATTTAATTTAAAGTAGACATGGGAACTTTAAAGAAGAGCAATATTAGAAACTGGGGAAGGGATGCCTTATGAGAAAAAAATGGATTTTAGGTAACCCGAGGTTGACAGGCAAATGGCCTTTTGCTTATTCTTTTTTTTTCCCCTATGCTGAGACATGAAAGGCCAGTGTGATCATACATTTCACTAAACCACCTAGGTGTGCAGGAGTTATAACTCGCAAATAACATCAGACATCACTTCCTAAACATTTTCCCAGCATGAGCCCATTTTAGTACCTAGCCTTTGCAGTGATTGCAGTGTAGAAACTTGGACGGAACAAGAGTTGGGGTGGGGTTGGTGTCGGGGTGGGGGGTGCAGATATGGGTGGGGGGACTGCCATATTCAAACAAAACTAGGTTTATTCCTGCTCCACCACCTCACTGAACCAACCCTCCAATTGAAGTATAACCTTCCTCGCTCACTTACTGATCCTCCTATTGAGATTCCCATTGATTATGTGACCCTGTCAAGGGTGCATCACTTGAAGGTTAACTCCCACCTGTTCCCAACATTTGCCAAGCCAGAACAAAAAAAACCCGGCATGGTCAAGGCAGACACTGAAGCTGCCTGTGTGAAATGTGTTCAGTCCCCTCTCCTTCTAGCAAGCTGCACACCAGGGATAAAATAAAATTCAGGTGTGGTAATCATAGATTCCTGGAGTAGGTCCTATGTCTTTCTGAAAACAGCCTCTATTCCGCGGTTGCCATTATGGCCTTGAAGCTCACAATCCCAAACTCTTACCCTACTTAAATTTCTTAAGTCAGGACTTCCAAAAAAAAGAACAGAATAGAATACTGAGCTTGATCTACCATAGAATAAAATCATGACTGGTCAACTACCTTCTCTCTACTGTACCGTTGTAGTCCAATACTCCGAGAGAATCTTCATGTCCAAAAATCTAACAATCTCAGTCTTGAACATATTCTAAGTGAAATTGTACTGCCCTGTGAGATGGAAACTTCCAAAGATCCACAACTCTGAGTGAAGAAATTTCTCCTCATCTCTACCTTAAAAGGCTGATGATTTATACTGAAATGATGACTCCTGGTTTTAGACTTTCCAGGCAGGGGAAACAGCCTGTAAGCACTCATCTGGAAAGGAATCTAAGAATTTAACACATTTCAATGAGATCACCCTTCATCTTCGAAACTTCAGAGAATATAGGACCATTCTATTCAATCCCTCATCACAGGACAATCCTTTCAATCCAGGAGTCAGTATGGTGAACCTTCATTGCACCCTCTCTTTCCTTCCTTAGGTAAGGAGACGAAATCCATGCACAGTATTCAAGGTGTCATTTTACCAAAGCTCTAAGTAAATGCAAGAAGAC